AGCCTTTTGGTTAATAAAAAGGTTATAAATAAGAAAAATGAAACTAAAAAGCAAGAAAACATTAGATGATGAGAAAAGTTCTTGTCACTGAAATCTGAATATTGAAAGCTATCTCCTAGCCAGGTAGATGACAAAAGTCCAGGACTCTACAGTATGTGAAACCAGGTTGGATAAAGAACTTTTTAAAGTATGTTCCATTTATGTTAGGATCAAAAGAATCCCACAAGCCTATTCCAAAAAGGAATGTTCATATCTAATATTCTAATTCCCAGAATACTATTAATATCCACTTCTGCTATCTAATTTTATGTCAAAATTTTAAGACTTAGATTTCAAGAAAGTCTTACTTGGGGAGAAATACATATAAAAAGAGAAAACACCTTTGAACAATGAATGTTTCCAATCACCCTTTAAAATTAAAAAGAAAGAGAGAGAGCAAGAGAGGGAGAAACAGTCTCGAGATCAGTCTGCCTGCACAAACACAGCCATAGCCCACGGACTGTGCTTGTGCTGGGTTAAGCCTCCTACAATTTAATACAGACATCAGTTTATTACCTAGCTGTGTTTGATTTTTATATTCCTTAAATTTTATTGTGCCAGGAGCGGAGCCAACCAAAGATAAAGCAAAAATCTAACAATTGCCTCTGTAATTTCATCTGTGGACTCCTTTTATGAGTCACTGCATGCCCAATTTTGATCTCCAAGTAATGTCACTGTAATAAAACCAAACTAACTCCTCCTCACACATGCACCTCCTCCACTGCCTTGATAAAATGCAGAATTAGTTCATTACTGATCCTAATAGATATCATTACCTCAGTCATTTACACCGTGGGACTGCCAATCAGCAGGTTGGTGGAAAGAAAGACACAGAGAAAGCTGTACTTGTTATATTCACTTTCCCCATTTTAGTCCCTTTCTTTAAAAAAATTTGGTCTGCTCCAAAAGAAAAGAAAGAAAACATCCACTGGCTCTCTGAGGAAAGGTCTCCCAAGGCCTGGATCTGCTGACATGTAGGGAGTTATGATGTTGTGAGAATAGCCCTGATGACAGCAATACTGTCCCATACTGCTCCTAGGATGTCCAGAGCAATCCGAGGGATCGTGATAAACTTCATGTGTGAGGGAGAGGTCCCGTCTGACCATGGAGCTGTCAGGCACATGAAAGAAACAATATAAACTTGATTTAAATGTGGGATCCCTTCCAGAAGGCCTAATTATCTATTGTATTACCACATACCCATTATTCAGCAGTCTCTTCTGTCTCAGACTTAAGTCCAGCTGCAGTATTTGTTTGGAATATATTCAGGGAAAGCTCCAAACTAACCAGATCATAGAGGACTCAGTTAAATAGGGAACAACAGTTATATAAATACAAGTCCCCTAGGCTGGAAAATATTTTGGTTGTCTGCTAAATTTCAGGAATGTTGAAGACAGTTGAATCTAGTTTTTAAACGTCCACACTTATAGCATCCTAATGTTTTATATGACATGGTATAACTTCATTGACTACGTAAATATTATCATCCATTACTAGCTAGTAAGTTACTAAGTAGTAATTTTTCTTTGAAGACACATCATAAACAACAAAGGTCACCTCCAGTTCCTAATTTCTAGACGTTCATAAATCAGTATTCTATACTCTCTCCGTAAATGCTTATTTGTTTTGGGTAATCAGAAGATAAATTATTCCTAAGGGCATCATAATATATGAGATAAATACTTAATAAAACATTCTGAAATCTTCAAATGAATAGCATTGTGTAGAAGATGCCACTGTCAATTCAATTTTTTTTAAATTAGAAAAACTGATGTTTGACATCATGGAGGTGTAACAACGAGTTGATAGAATGACATTTTCACTTTTTAACTGGCTGCCTGACACCACAGTTAATAATTCAAATGCAAAACTGCCCAGCAGCCAAAAATACACATACAGATGGCTAATATTACATATTATATTAGTAATATTATGTTTATGACTGTCACTGAAGACTGTGCCTTAGCTACATATTATTTTAAATATGTAGAAATAGCATTTGAACTTCATGAATTTTGGACACCAGGGTGCTGTGTGCATACTACATTTTCTTTTTTCATTAAGAGCTCCATAAATTTTGCCAGCAACATTTTCCTACCATTTTGTCCCCATTTACCTTGTCTGGGCCTCACATTTCTAAGAGATGCACCAAAAACAAAACAAAAAAGCAAAAACGCAAGTTATTTTTTACAAATGCATTTTTTAAAGAGAAAAATGCTCTCTCGGATTGTTCATGACTATTGACTAAAATTGAGTCATATTCCTTTGGAGGGTAAATACCTGGCCATTCTAGATAACTTCTGTACAACACCTGATCCTGCCCTCCAAGTGGGTGAAACTTTCAAGAAACACTTGGTTCACACAGCTGGGAACAATGTTAAGTAACAAGCCTCCTGAAGGCAGGCTCTGAGCTTTTCTCACTATCCTCTCCTTCCCTGGCCCAGTGTCTTGTATATAGATGCTCCACAAAAGCTTGTTAAATAAAGGAATTTGCCCTGAGCCTACTTTTAAAGAAAAACACAACAAACAAGAACACCTCTCCTTTCTCTCCTACAGCCACTACCAAGCAAACCAACACCATTAAGATTATCAAATATAGGAAAACCTTGTTTTGTGACAAGAAGAACAGGATTACGAATTGGGATATAGAAGGGAAAAAAATTGGAAAAAGAATAAATTAATCTCAATAGGCTGGGTGCAGACCAGTACTGATTATGAGCCATGAGAAGACAAGCGATTCAATCATGGCCATCGTATTTCAAAAAATATTTTAAAATTAAAATGAAAATCCTTCACTGTAACATCAACACCTCCCCGAACAATGTAGCTCACATCGCTCTGTAAAATCTTCTTGGTTCTGGCCAACAGCTGGCAAGTTGATCCCTGCAATTTTCCCTTTGCAGGAATAGCTTTGTGAGGGGAGAACTGACCCTCCTGGGCTAATAAGCCCAAACCAGGCCAAACCTGGAGGGTTGAAATGGAAGGGACATTGTTGTGTTAAGTACTTTACAACAACTGTTTCTTCTCTTGACACAGCCTGACTTCCTTAAAGAAGATTTGACTGGCCAGACAGCTGTGTTGACCCTTAAGCCTTCTTTGATTCGTGATTTTTTTTTTAACAAACACAATAGAAATTCACAACCCAAGTCCTTTCCTAAGGTCCAATACTTTGTGAATTTGCTAGTGTTGTGCCTGAAGGATGTGTACATTTCAGTACTCTCTCAGAAGAAAGTTGAAGTTTGGCTCCACACAATACCAAAACCTTTATCAAAAGTGAGAAAGAGAAAAAAAAAAAGAAACGAGCAATCAACCAGAAGCTTTATTCAAAGGTGATGATACTTGACGTCCTCTGGACAAAATCTGCTTAATTACCTAAAAATTATCCTTTTCACTCAGACACTGTGGCAGTAAACAGACAACCAAGTACAGAGACAGGCGTATCTTCTTTCAAAAATGTCAAGCATAATTATCACTTCATGAGAGGCGGGGAAGAGTTTTCACTTCTTCATAAATTTCACTTTCTTTATAGATGCATAGTCTAACTCATCTGAAAATTGAGTGTGAGATATATATTCTGAAAAAAGTAAGTTTTCTATCCTTTCAAAACAACAACAAAAAAGCCGAGCACGTCCCTGCACATGGGGGTAAAATTCAAGCATTTTATGGCAAAGGAGAACTGAGCGGCAGAGAGAATTTTGTGTGTGTGGTGGGAAGCTCTAATACTTTGTCAGTTGTTAGTAAACCTCACAGCCCAGACAGCACGGAAAAGAAAATATTTCTGTTCATTATTAGTTTTTTGTTATACCGAGACTTCTCCTGCACACCCCTTTCTCTGTGTGTTTTTAACCTCGCGTTAGGTACGGCGTTTCACGCACTCTGATCCTCCTCAGGCAGTGCTGTCGTTTTTATTCGCCAGCGACAAATGCAGAATTGTCCTGCGCGTGCACACGCGCGCCCATCCAATTAACAGTCCCAAGGCACAAAAACAGAGGCCTCCGCTTCAGCCTCTTTTCCTCAACCACCTCCCCAACCCGTGAAGCCAGGGCCCCTTCTCTTTAGCCATTTTCGCAAGGAAAAGCAATTCCCTCTCCTGACATGCCCGGAGCTCCTCCTGGCCTGCCCCGAATGAAATTCTTCTACCTCCCACTCCCTGGCTTGAAGCACTACGGAAATCTAGATTCGAAACGACCCACTTTCTTAATGTCTGTCTCCCAATTCTGCCCAAAGCAGGCCAGATCGTTCGTGTCGAAGGAGAGAACTGAACCTGCCCCGTGGCCGGAGAGGCTGCCCACAGTGGACTGGGGTGGAGCGTAGGGTGGAGGAGAGGGCGGCAGGTCAAGCCCCAACCGCTGGCCCCACAGCCCTTGCGTCCGGGGGCTTTGGGGAGCCGGGGAGAGATGCAGGGAGAGGAAAGGCGGAGGAGTGGCGCGCTCAGCTCCGAACGGCCGCAGCGCCATTTCTGAGCCCAATCTGTCCCGACTGCCGTGGAGAAACGCGAGCTGGAAACGCGCACGGCGGACAGAAGCCGCGGGGCCGCTACAGCCAGACTACTCGGCGCGAGGGTGGCGCGAGGGTGGCGCAGACACCTGGATGAGATGGGGAGGGAACCAGCCAGGAGACAGGGGCCCAGGCAGATCGCAGGACACCCGGTGGACGGGTTGAGCGGGGGTGCCAGGCCGCAAGGGGTCGGAGGCCCACAAAAAGTCGAAGGAAAGGGGTCGGGGAGGACTCAAAGCTAGGCGGGCCGACCATGGAGGGAGCAATCGGGTGCTTCTGCGGGACCGGCGGGGATGGCGCGCCCCGGCCAGCCGCCCTGTCCCCGGGGAATGTACGAGACGGGGCTGAAGGGGAGTCGGTGCGATGCCCCTCCGCCTTCCAGAAGAGGATCGGGGTGAAGGAGCACAGAGTTCCCGGCGCGCACCGATGCCAGCGCGCGGGGAGCGCTCGGGGCGCACACTTACTTCTCGTAGTCATACTTGCAGTAGAGCTTCTTGTCCCGGTAGAAGCAGGTGGTCTCCAGGGGCTCCTTGCAGGAGGTGCATTGCACGCACTGCTCGTGCCAGAAGCTGTCGTTGAGCCGCAGCAGAAACCTGTCCAAGATGACCCGCTGACACCCCTCGCAGACAGACTTGGGACTCACCGCTCTGCCTGCAGCGGCAAACAGACGTTGGCGGGTTAGCCGCCGGGTCCGGCCTCCCAGCTGAGCCCGGCTGGGACCAGCTCCCGACCCCCCACCCGACATCCTCGGACCCTCTCTGCGCCCCCACCCCCACCCCGGGAAGCCCCCTGCTAATCAACCCAGCCGAGATTTGGAAAAAACCAACCCAAGTAGCGTTTCTAACAAACAAGGGCTATGTGGGAAGGTTGGAATCCTAGAGAGGGAGGAGACGGATATCAATAAGCGGCCTTTAATTATCAAATATACCCAGGTATGCGCCCTAACGTTTGCGCATCCTGTGAAATTTAATTACAAATAAATGTGTGCTCCCAGGTTCATCGCGTCGTAATTAATCATTAAATCACCACGCTTCTCTCTATGACCACAACATTTTAAAAACTGAAAATGCATGAAAACAATTTGGTTTTGTTGTCATTGTTAAGACACAGGTCTGTTCTCATTTTTGGAGGGGAGAAAGGTTTTACATATCGCCTTTTTTCCCTAAAAAGTCCTGTGGGTACAGAGAAATACCGTTCGGCCCCCAGGCAAACCCAGTACTGTTCAAACCAATGGACCCCAAACTGCCGCGTCTTGGCTGGTGTGCAAATTGCAGGTGGGTTTTTCATAATTAAGAATTGTCAAAATAGAGGGAAGAAAAAAAGTTGGGGGAGGGAGCAGCTGACGCGGTGTCCGGCCCGGACTCCCGACACGGGGCGCGCTCAGCAGCCCCGCGTGGGGGCGAAATGGGCGGCGAACCCACTGGGCGCAGGCGGGCATCGGCTCTGTCCTACCCCTCGGACTTTAGTGTTTTGTTCTTTTAGATTGGGGGGGCTTCCCCTCCCCAGGGTGACCCTTGGCTGCCTTGGCCGGCACTTTCCACGGCTTTCTAAAGTAGGTCTCGTCCCCCGGTAACAACACTCTCACGGGTGCTATCCCAAAGAACTCGACCCGTCCCCATTTTCTGCTACACCCCCCGCTCTCGCCTTCTGGCCTGGCCAACGGCTCCGGTCGCTTTGGGGAGCGAACATAAAGGGCTAGGAAAAGCAGCGAGATGGCTCCCGATGTTAAAATTCTGTTTTCTTTCTGTAGGGTCTCGACGTGCTAGCCCAGGACCCGCGCTTTGGGAGTGGACAGGGACCGGCCCAGGGCACAGGGCGCCGGGCGACGTTCGCTATGTACACGAGTCCGCACGCACTGCCCGCTCCGCGCTGCCCACCCGGGCCTCCGCGCTCCTCCAAGGCTGGGCAGATTCCGAACGGTCTCCAGAGGGGGGTTCAGAGAGGAGACCTCAGGCTGCGGGACTTCGTTTCCTCTGGGGCGTTGGGGTGGGGAGTGGCCTCTCTGATACGGCTTCACCAGCCTGACTGTCACTTCCTCCACATTCAACCCGCTCTAGCGGTTCATGTGAGGGGCAGAGGCCATAAGGTTTAAATGACAAAACGAAAAATCCCTCCCGCTATGAAAATAAAGCACCCGCCCCCCAAACTTCGAAGGCACTCTGGGCGGGAGGCAAGGACCTGTCACCAGAAACCCCAGCCTCGGGTCCCCGAGACCCGCGTGTGGACACTCTTCCGGGGCCCCTGACTCGCCGCTCCCACGCAGTCACTGCAAAGGCGTTGGGGGTTGGGGGGCGACCCACTGGATCCGGAAGATCCAGTTAATTAAAGCCGAGGCGAGAGTCCCGCCGCGCGGGCTAATCCTGGCGCTGCGTTGCGCACCGGCCCGGAAAAGTCTCTTGGCCGTGCCCAGGGCTGAAATTGGGGCTGGAGTTGGTGGGGGCGAGATGCCGCCTCGAACCTGGACGTTCCTGGCCTCGGGTCTCACTCGTAGGCCGCCAAGAAGAGAGCGTGACATTTATGAGACGTCGATCAGCTCCGTGATTAAAAGTACAGCCCTGGGTATTTTTAATCACTAGCTCGCCCGCCCCTCGCGCTTTGGGGAATTCGGTGCCCCGCGCGTGAGGCCCGGGGCGGCTTGTCGGTTTTATTTGGGTAGGGACGCCCCGCGAGAACTGATGGACAGACAGCGCGTGGGCTCCCGTGAGGGCACGAAGAGGGAGCGCTGGCTCCCGCGTGGCGACCGGGTCCCAGTGCGCCTGGCTCCACAGCTCGGGCCCGGCGGACGGAGGATGCGCCCGGGACGCGTCGCCCGGACACTCACCCAGCAGCGAGGAGAAGGGGGCCGAGGTCTCGATCGCGCTCTGGAAGTTCTCCTCCATCTTCAGACCGTCCAGCATGTTCGGGCCGGCCGGAAGGACCTGCGGAGATGAGGAGGCGCTGGGCCTGGCGTCCGGTGCCCGCCGGGACCCCGCGCCCGCGGCCGCCGTACTCCTGGGAGAGAACGGAGGGAGTGTCCAGACGACCAGAACGAGCCCGGAGGGTCGGGTCCAGCCAAGGGAAACGTAGGCTGGGAGGAGAGACGAGTCTCAGCGAACCGCTCTGACTGATCTGATTTCACTTGAAGCCAACACGTTATGTACTTAGGGCCTCCGCCCCCCGACCGCGTTTCTCCTCCTGCCCCCCCTTCTGTCCTCCACCTCCGTCCCCAGCCCCAGGTTTCCCATCTCCAGTCCGGCTCCGCCCCAACCTCTACGAGTGTGGGCCCTAGGGACGCCTCTACAGGAACCCAGCTACCGGCGTAGGATGGGGAGCCTGGAGTGGGCGCCCTCCCTCGCGCAACCGGGCTCGGGCACGCGGGACG